CTGCTACAGTGGAGAGTCGTTCATGCATGTGATGAAAGTGTTGATGCCGACCTGTCTAAAAGGGAGGTCGTCCATCAGCTCTTTGCGGCATTTCCTGCAGCGCTACACCAGGGCGCTGTCTTTTGAAGTTTCAAGTAAAACTTGGAAACTGAAATGACTGGCTATATGGTGCCTTCGATGAAAATGTCATGCCTGCAGGTCTCTGCCTGAGAGCTTCTTTTCTATATTCTCTGAGAGTTTCTTTCCTATATTCTCTGATCATTTCTTTTCCTTATCAACTTTCCGGCTCGGAAGGCTCCAACAACGCTGGCGGTTTATGTTGGTCGCGCAGCCATGGAGACCAGCGCGGAGAGGCTCAAAGCCTTGCCACACCTCACAGTTGCTCTTTTGCAAGAAGCCTTGCATCGCGGCTTTGCGCAAATAGGGCATCGAAACTTGCCAGTACTGTCGCAGAAGATGGAGGCAATGACATGGAAGACAGCGCCCAGTAAGCACATAGAAGCTTTCAGCCTTGTCGAGGGTGTGCTTTTTGCTTTGCTCAGCATCTGCTCCAACGGGCTGATACCCGATGCAATGCTAGTTGCAGCGTCTGGGCTTTATAATTCGATCTTTTTCATTTTCGGCCTTTCAATTTTTTCCTGCTTCGAGTTTTCATCTTTCCTGTTTCCTTTTCTGAGGCTATGAGGGCTGAGCATTCCTTGGACCCTTTCACTTTTGCTGCTGGTACTGACTTTGAGATGGCTTCGGCTTTCTTTTTGCAGAAAACCCGGCAGTTGGCTGCCAAAATCAGCTTTCTGCAGACTGCTTATAGGCACCTTTTGCAAGTATGTGGAACGGAGGTACTCCGCTGCTTTGGCGCTCTTTTTTTGAAGCCATGGCAAAGCTAGCTGCCAGACTGCATCAAACAACTGGATGGTTGGAACTTGACGGCTAATTTGAATGATTTGTTCCAGGCGGCCAAAAGCATCGGTCTCAGATAGCACCATGTCAGTTTCTGCAGGCACAGACACCTCTGCCCCTGTAGCTTCTTCCACCGTCGCCTTCTTGGTCTCCCCTTTCTTGGCCTTCGGCTTCTGCGTCCTGCGCGGTACAAACGACACGCCATACAAGCAACCTATCGCACTGAATTGCCAACATGTTGCTGCAACAAAGACTGGGGCCCTGACACACGTGCCTTGCTTGGCAAATGCTGCTGCAAGACTTTATAGGATGCCCGACGCATGTGAGCATAGTCATCACATGGCCGTGCGTGAGGAAACACAGCACGGCGGGAAGCTTCGATGCCCTTCGCATAATCTTTGTGGACCTGCCAAACCTGGGCCCTCAGATCGAGGCCACACTCTTTCTCGGCCACGTTGCATGCCTCAGTGAAAATTTGGGTCATGTTGCGCTCGGATTCTGAACTCACCAAGGCTTGCAAGAACGGTTCTTGCGTGGCGGTGTGCACTGCAACGGACTTGGTGTGGCTTGCCCCTGCCCAGGTTTTGGTTGGCGAGGCACTGCTTACCAAGAATGCCAGAGTCACAATGCCATATTCGTTGACAACGACGCGCTGCTTCGCATCGACAACCAGCTTCAAGACCTTCTCTTTCAAGGCCTGCGCGCGGCGTAGCATGCCTGGGCACGTCCACATCACGCACACCCTCTCTTCATCAAAGGTTGACGACGGCAAGACGATAAGCCGCCACACTTTCCAGCTTTGCCAAGCATCCATGTGTGGGCTCATGAACGGCCCTGCTGCATTCTCCAACTGTCCCACTGTCAGCTTGCCTTTGTTGCATTGCGGCCGGCCCGCGCCATTGAATCTGATGACGAAGCTGTGCAATTGCGGAGTGCTGCAGCGCAAGTTCAACCCATGGGCTTGCAGTGCAGCGCGGACATCTTTGGAGGTCACCCGGGGCCGCTTTGTTTCCAAAGCTTCTAAAGCTAGAGCCTCGGCACATGTCCACAAGCTACCGCCTTGCGGCGCTTGTAGCTCTCCATGGATGCCTTTGTGCTGCACGCATAGCATGGGCCCTTTGTCGCTGAAAGTCAGCGTCCCTTTCACCTTTTTTGTGCAGCCTCTGCATACGCTCGGCCGGCAGATACCGAGCAAGGTTTTGCCAGCTTTCAACTGCTTCTCATGGAAATTGTACACACCACAATCTTTTGCTTGCCCGAGCACACGTTCGATGGTTTTCCGCAAGCTTGCGCAAGTGCCAACATCGCCTGGGGCGCTCCCGTGGAACAAGGTCGCCCACTCTGGCGTTGCGACCTGGACAGGCTCTGGATCCACCAATTCCTGCTCAGGCTTATTCTCCTCGCTGTCTGACCCGTGGGCTTCTGGCCTGACGGTGGCGACAGCGACCCCTATATCCCAACGCAAAGAAAAGCCCGCCCCCGCCTTCGCACGGTTGGCGCTCGTGTCATCGGACTCTTCGCGCCATGTGACTGCCTGCCAGACGTGAGACCTGCTGCTTGCTAGACTGCAGCGCCCGCTTTTGGGGGGGCCCGTAAGCCAACATTATATACTTCCTAGTCTCTGTATTCGAAACTTCGGGTCCTCTCTATATAGGTCACTATAATTGGCACAAGGTTGTACGTACGGCCTACACCTCTGGCGTTCTGTAGTGTTACCCCAGCCCGCACGCCTTGGACGCAACTGCTTTTGCGCTGCATCTGGTTTGCACGGGCGCCCAAAAGACCAGCCAGGAACCCCCATCTCCTTCAAGGCCTCTTTCGCTTCTTTCGACAAAGCTGCCCAACAACCCTTCACGAAAGCAGCCTGCACTTCGCCGCGGTGGCGTTGTTCCCGGACTTCGCCTAGCCCGCGTTCAACCAAGAGCCCCATGACTTCCTGATACGCAGCATCCTTCCACATGGGGTCTGGCAATTCCCGAAAGTGTGCGCCACAGCGGCGCGTCCATTCAGGATACCATCCCGACCCAACCAGAGTTCTGAGTAGCTCTGCCATCGCTGCCACGGCCTGCTGCGCAATCACCCGATGTGATCTATATAGCTATAGTTAGCCTAGTGAAACCGAATTCTTTGGCGTATGGATGCTCTTATTACATGTTACTTGCGACGGGCGTATAACTTTCCTGATGCTATCTTGTTTAATTTGGACAACCCCTCACGCCTCTGCCACTGGCCGTTTCGGCGGAAGGCGAGCCAGTCGCGCTTGCCGGCGCATATCCACTTCCAAGACAGCAAGCCCGTACAAGAACCGCTCCTGGAAGCACAAGGTGGCCATCTTCAACGCGTCTGTACTCAGATGCCCGCTCCACACTGGTAAGCTCGCACTTCTCCTTAGTTGCTCGCAGCAGCTCCAGACCGACAAAGTCGCTGCAATGACACATCTCATCTGACTACCTCCCGTGCTTGCAAAACAAAAACGGCTGCAACCAAGGCACGAGCACGCATGCGGCCACAGGCTTTCCATCAGCGTGCCAAAGAGGGCGACGGTGCTGACCCAGTAAGGGGCCTTGTGCAAGCCAGCGGCAAGTGTCTCACCAAAGAAAGTCTTCTTTGTTACATCATTGCAAGTCAGCCTGTACGCATGGAATTGCTCTTTTAAACTAGGGCTCAGCTTCCATTCTCTTCCGGGCGCATCTATTGCCATCGGCGCCTTGCAACCCAATGATTTCAGCACTGCTGCAAAGATGCGACGCAATATGGGCATGACAACCTTTCTCTCAAAGCCTTGGAGGCGAGGCGGGCCTGGATCACGAAGAGCGCCAAAGGAGAACATGCAACGCTGGGGCAAGCCGATCTTGTTGCGTGCCTCACTCGGCACCCACCAGTTCTGCCACACTGACAGCTGTTGCAACAAGGCTATAGTCACATTGGTTTTCTGCGACGGTGTGCCCTTCGGCGGAACCACCCTCTCTTCCGCCGACTCCTTCTTTGCTTTCCGGTCCAAGGCAGTTTCCCAAGGCACCTCTCCGCCCGTGGCGCTGTCGAGGAACCTTGCGAAGTTGATGTGGGTTGTTTGGTTCCAGGTGCCATTTTGCGCAAAAGCAGGACAAAGCAGTGGGCCCCCTTCTCCTGCTACCAGGGTGGTGTAACCATCAGTCGCCTTTAGCTTGTCTACTGCCGCACAATGGGTGCTTGGCCCGAGCAAATGGAATTTGTCCCAGCCCCATCCAGGCGCCAAGTGTGAATTCTCTTCCAAGACACTGCGGAGGCATTCAACCATCGGGTCCACTGCTGGGCTTTTTCCGCTGCCGGGCCGCGCGATCCCCATTGCCCAGTATCGACTGCGGCAAGGGTAACCCGCGACGTCGACTGCAATGTCTTTGTGAAGTAAGCCCATCACAAGCGCACAAAAAGCATCATAGTAAAAGGCCGTGGGCATGCCCGTGCTGCGGCTCCACGCCTCGGTGAGCACCAGTACCGGGTAAAAGCATGTCCGCCAAAGCGGATATTGCAACTCCACGGCTTCCCGCCCGCCGAACTCATCGCTTTCAAACCCAGCAATGAGCCAAGGCAATTGTTCCTTCACCGCTGCTTGCTGCATTCCCATAATCTCTGCCTGCAAAGGGCGCACGGCACACAATATCGCATCGTGAGAAACAACCCCGACTCCTACTATGCGCCTGCACCAAAACTACCCGCCATGTTACATATATATATATATATATAGCTACAGAGCTATTTACTCTTGCGTGTTACTGAGGTCCCGACACTGTACGCAGGCAAGGTTGCGAGGAATGCCTCCACATCTTCACCGTTTTCGAAGCTCCTTAAGCATGCCGCCACATCGCTTTCAAACTCCACGGTGCCATCCACGGCCTCACCAAAGGGTAAAGTCTGCATCCGCCCCTGCAGCGCCAAGGGTGGCCCCTCCTCAGCCGTGGCCTTGACGTTGTTGGCAGTGGGCATGTCCGCATCCACGCTAGCAGCTGTTGCTTGCTCCCACCGTGAGGCAACGGCATCCGCGTGCACAGGTGGCCCAACACCAGTGCCCACAAACGGGGCACTCCTGTTCTCATATAGCGCCAGAACCACACCTACCTCCACAGTCTCTCCAGGAGTCTCTACCTGCTTCACCACAGCATCATCGCACCGTAGAAATGTCGCACCTTCTTTTCCTTTGAGCCACGCAACAAAATGCCCCCGGTCCGCATTGCTTGGCGTCCCGGCACCTGGCAGATGTTCCACTAAGGCTACAAAATCATACAACGACCCATTGATTTCCACAGGTCCTACGCACTCGATGGCGTGCCCATTGCGTTGCATCCGTCCCGACTCCACGTAGCTGTTGCGTGGAAAGGCAACCACCAGAACTGCAGGGGTACAGACTGGGGTTGCATGTTCCAGCACTTTCTTGTTGCCACCACATGCCTCGCAACGCAACCCCTCCGCCAACCATTCCTCTGCAAAAACGTTGCGCAGGAGTTGTTGCGCAGTAGCGCTTCCAAACGGCTCGTTCTCTGCGAGGACAGCCACCCATGCCTCAAGTTGTCCACTCCTTGCCAGAGTGTTGTAAAGCTTGCATGTAGGCACCTCACATTTGTGCTCACGTTGCCTCTGCACATCCATTCTGAAGAAGCCAGGCGCTGCCCGTTCAACCTGCAACCACGGTAGGTCAAACATGATTTGCTGTTACAGCCTTTTCCCTACTTTGACACGTATATTCTGACATGTGCTTTGCTACTAGACTCTCAGTTACGACACGTTGTTTTACCTTTTATTTCCCAACCAGAAGGACCCAGCAGGCACCTACTCCGCGTAATCCCATCCGCCCTCATCCAGCCTCCTCGCACACTGCTACAACGAACTCTGTGGCACTTTCCTGCGCACCGCCAGCCAAACCAACTTTGGCGAGAAATGGCTTCCACAGCTTGGCCATCACGCCGGCATCTGCTTGCCCAGCCTCTCGGGCTTCATTTGTGCGCCACAATAAGCACAGGATACATTCTCCATCGCAATGCTTCTCAGCAACATGCGCATGAAGTACGGCACGGACACACGCCGAGTGGAAAAGCATTTGCAGGACACTATTCACAAAGCATGTGTTTCCAATGTTTGTCAGCCCTACAGCGCAGACCTTGCCGTCTTTCGGCTGCTTTGCCCGGCTTGTAGACTGTCTCCTTTTTTTCAAAGTTGTTGGCTTCACCCGCAGTTTTGCTCTCAGGCCATCTTTGCGGTACCCCTCCGGCAAGCGGTACCGGATACGCGCCCAACCAATGGAGCCCGACAACTTGACAAACGGCACTGTTTCCGGCAACGTTTCCACATTGCTAAGCCACAAGGCATGGGTGCATGTGTATGGCAATGATTCCATCTCCACCCGATGCTCACCACGTAGCTCCATAAATTCTGCCAATCCTACTTGCTTGCATCTGGTGATTGTAGCGCTGCCATATACACGGTTTCCCATCACCAGCCAAGTATGGCCTGGTCTGGCCCGCTGCCCCCGCAGCTCCACTGTTTTCTGGCCACTGAGGATACGCTCCAACCATTCCTGCCGCAACACCATTCCACGGTCTCCTTCCATTGGCCTGCGCCTCATCAGCTGACACGGTGGAGCAGCTCCTCCCACAACCTGGCCATACACGGTTGTTTGGCGTTGCCCTCCTTCCACCAGTAGACTTGCCATCACGTGCTTTCGAAGCCGCTCAGCGCAAGTAGCGCAGGTCATAAAGCCTACAAACCTGTGCAAAGACCACAGTGCAAGGAAAGCGTAGACATAGCCAACGCCGCCCGGCAACAACAATCCCACTGTGATGATCCTCCAGCTTGTCGGCATTTCCCTTTGCAACACCACTTTCCTCTGCCGATGCCGTCTGCCTTGCACTTTCACCCCGGTCTTTCTCTTTCTGCCCCCGGGCACGGGGCAAGCACCGAGCAAAACCCCTGCGATGAAGCCAACCGCACAGCACGCGCACCACGCAGCCATCGCCATGGACAGGGAAGAAGCCTACTCGTGCCAAGTCCTATCGCCACTACAGGTACAATTGCAACCTGTTTTCCTACACTTTCTACTTCCGGACCTTGTGCAATACATGGTCGTGCAGTCTCTGCCTGTGCTCGACACTTCATGTGTCCAGCATCTACTCTGTCGCTACAGTTTGCATAGTCTTCTCTTCTTTGCCAACCTCTCTACGCCAATCTGTCGCAGAGCCACGGCTTCCGACCACCATCGCAGCAGCGATGCACTAGTCACCCGACACTTCTGCAACAGCCTTCTGTCTCTTCTCTGGCGTCCGAGGCACCAAGCTATGTTGATGGCCCTCGGCAAGGCATCGGTGCTGGCAGTCCTGGGCACACACCCGCAATGCAAGCCATTCATATATGTGACCCGGTGTCATAAAACGTTCCATCTAGCTTCGAACAACGCTGCCACCCACAGGGGCCCAACCGGAGCCAACCTAAAAGAAGCTGGTGGGGAACCTCAAGAGCAACCTTCCAAGAAGTTCCTAGCAGACATGAAGCGGGTGGGCAGCGCGGGTGGGGGGTGCAGGGGGGAGGGCGCAGCGCCTCCCTCCGCGAAGCGTTCACAGAAGCCGGGTCACCGGAAAGCTTCCCAGACGCAAGATAAAACCCGGCGTTCACAGAAGCCGGGGCACCGGAAAGCTTCCCAGACGCAAAAGAAAACCCGCTAGATAACATGTCCACAGCCTAACCGCCGCGTCAACCCAAACTCTACCAAGACGCACGATCAGATGTCTACATGTGAACGCTTCGCGGGGGGAGGCGCTGTTGAAAAAATAGGTTAGGGGGTTGAAAAAATAGGTTAGGGGGTTGAAAAAATTGGTTCGGGGGTTGAAAAAATTGGTTAGGGGGTTGAAAAAAAAGGCCGGGGGGTTGGAAAAATATGGTCTGGGGGGTTGGAAAAATAGGTTTTCAACGGGGGTTGGAAAAATAGGGCGGAGGGGTTGAAAAAATAGGGGGGGGTTGGAAAAATAGGGTGAGGGGGTTGAAAAAATAGGGAGCCCGGTTCTCTTGGGCCACGTATGTGGAAGGAGA